GAAAGAGATATTCTTGCGAGAAAATTTCATTTCACAGGTAGGTAAATTGACTTGCAACTGTGACTTTGCCGTTGCCATTTTTCGCGATTGTTTGAATTGTTTTTTAGTTTACCAGTTTTATAGTTTTTAGTCAATACACTGGTACGTTATTTTTTAAAGAATTTATTGTGTGATCGGAATTTGCCTGCCAGCAAAATGTAAATGAATATGTACATGTGTTTGAATATAAATTATACCATATGGGCTTAATAAAAAATTATTTTAATAACTACGTTTCGGAGTATAACTCCATCTTCAGGTTAAAAGTGAATAAAGACATAAGAACTGTGATAAAAACTTTCAAAACAAATACAAATTTTATATGTAAGTGATTTTTAATACTGTAAGAAAGTTCTTGAACAGTTGATGACGAAGACAATGACGAATACTTATGTCGTGATTTTTTTGTCGGCTTCACTTTTCGCTCTCTGTTATCATTCCAGAGATATATATATATATATATATATATATATATATATATATATATATATATATATATATATATATATATATATATATATATATATATATATATAGAGTGAGTTCACTGCCTATTGCTTGTGTATAGATAAGAGCATGCTATACCATAGTTAATGAAATAAATAGTTTATAGAAACTGGTTATTATCTGTGTCACTCTTTGTCACATATGTATTGTATTTTCGCCAGTCAAGACCATACTGGTCCTTTCCTATAGAACATGTGATCCTGTACTAGTCCTCTCCTATAGGCTATACTGCATGTATGTGACCCTACTAGTCCTCTCCTATAGGCCATAGGCTATAGTGCACGTGACCCTACTAGTCCTCTCCTATATTGTATGTGACCCTATACTACATGGTCCTCTCCTTACACACTATGTGCACTTTAAATGCATGTAGTTCAAATATAGTTCCTGTCTCATAAAATATTTTGTGTCCCTGGATTGTACTTTGCCAGTCCTTTACTATAGAAACCTCTTTTATTGTAAATCTTGGTAACAAATCAAGGGATTTGCTAACAAAACATTGGGATGAATTGGAATGAACATTCTACCCTCCACATCGTCAAAATATTGCTCATGCATGCACTCAAAAATGTAACTGGCATCGTCACCATTCGTTATCGATAACGCTTTGGATTAGATACAGTGTAACCTGGTTTGTTTTTTAAACTGACTTTATTGTGCTTTCTTGAAGCAATAACTTGTGAAGACCATCCATGTGGTAGTATCGGGATATGTAAAACGGACTCAGACAGCAGTTTTTTTTGTGAATGTCCGGGGAATTCATTTGGAGATGGATACCACTGCCATGGTACGTTATTATACTTTGGAATCATATAAAATCAGTTGATATAACTGAATGAGTATTTCGGAAATTATAGAAAACATTTTCCGTGTTTCTGTACAGTTATAGAGAGTTAGTAGTTTGGAAGAACGAAAACTAATCAGTAGGTGCATGAGAAAACCCAAGAGCAAAGAGCCTGGGAACGAGGTTGCGTTATCTCAAGTTCTGCAAACAGCCACAAGTGTTTCAATACTTGTATAGAAACGCAGAAAATTTTATTCTTTTATAATACAACTCAAGAGAAATTCTTGAACCTGATTCATTTACAAAGTCTCATTACGCATGCATGCTGACTTTGCCGGTCGCTTAATTAATTCTCGACAAATCATCGCGCGCGTACTATATAATTCATTATGCCAAATAGAGAATAAGCATTTCCGCGCTAGAGTGGCAATTCTTAAGGAACCATATACCTTGACCACAACATATCGTTTAACAACGTTAATAGCAATGGTTTCGAGCAACTCTCCGCAAGAAACATGAAAACCTTAACTCTAATACTGTATAAATTAGCTGCGGCCCCTTGCAAAGCAGCGCTGACGCTGAACTAGTACTGAAGGGTTACCGTCACCAAATAATTTGAAATAAAGTTAAATTTAAAACCATGCTCAGATCAGTCGACTTCACCGCTTCATTCAGTTTGCGTTGCTAGTCAAGTATTATTATAAGTATATAATAACATGACTAGAGGGAAATTAGCGATTAAAATTACCCGCCGCCGAGGCAAGATTTGCGAAAACTGTGGGCGAAACCCGAGGACTTTTACTAATCTTACCAAGGTAAAAGACAATTATTTTACTTAATCGCTAATTTTCCGACAAGTCATGTTATAAGTTTGTGATATTATGATCGCCGAGGAAAACTCAGTCTGTATACAAATGGATTTCATCATGTGTCAGAGAATTATGGCTAGATTAGGTGATGATTTTGTATGGTTTGGTGAATTCAGTTTTTTAGTTTCAGGTCTTGTGTTTGTCATACTGTGTATTTGACAAACACGGGATTTCTTTGTCTTCTGATTTTCCGTCCTGCATACTTGATGAGTGAAAGTTAGAAGACAAAGAAATCCTTTGCCTTTTCTCAATTTTCCCGGGGATATTTAGAAAACCATACAAGAGTGAGTGGGGGAAATACGGGATTTACATCCCTTTGAATACAATAGAAACCGAGGCGATCATGATATTACACGTATAATACCATGATTGAATGGGATTCTATTGTTCCGAGCGAAATTTAATTTCTAAATTCCCGGTCGAGCGGGCGATTTATCACATCATAGTTAATGTCGGAAACCTCTGCGGAGGAGAGAACCTGACGCCGGACTACGCATTAGGCAAGTGTCGCACGCATATAATCGTGCAAGGAGAACAGCAACAGTTAGCTCAGGTCCGTTAATACCGGCCTATCATCCGATCCCTGAGTTGTTGCATCATTTAATAAGCTAAGCTCGTGTAGTCTGCGATTTTATACAAATACATTTACTGTTTTACGGTTGTGGTCACTGAGCTATAATATTACTGGAGGAGGTGCTGCTCTCTTTCTTCGATCAAAAAAGTGTCGCCAAAAACATGGCAGATTTTCACGTTTGCGTACGCCATTCCTTTTGGCCATGGCACAGAATAAAGACACACAGAAGGTCGACTTGAGTAACCGCTGCCACGCCATGATTCATCATCAAAATGCTGACCTCATGGTCCTAGCCAGTGCCTGTTTGAGAGGCATCCCCTCTCTGGACGTCCGCCATTTTCACGCGCACTGACTGGGCCATGGACCATGTAAAATTCAACTACAAACGCGCAATTTTTACACCTAAATCTTTAGCTGTAAAAATTGGCTGTAATCTTTTACCCAGAAAATTGAGCGTAATACCTTCAGAAAATACGCTTATAGCAGCTGCGGTGTACCAAGTAATAAGAATTTTGTCTTGGCCGGGTTTAGAAGAAGCGAGTTTGCACAACACCATCTGGCTGCATTGTTTAAATCTTCTTCCAAGACTCTTTTGCTTCCGATTTATCTTGGATCGAAAAAGATAATTAAATTTTACTGTCATCGACGAATGAATCCAGCAAAGATTCTGTTGTTATGGATAGGAGTTCGTTTGTGTATAGATGCTAAACAATAATGGGGATAAGATCGATCCTTGCGGGACCCCATATGTAATGTTTAGAGGAGCAGATTTGCCTGAGCCAATTTTCACGTACTGTTTACTATTTGTTAGGAAACTTTTAAAACCACTGTAGGGCAGTTGGAGATACGCCAGTGCCTCCAACTTTCTTAATAACATTTCGTGACTGATACTGTCAAATGCCTTGGATAAATCAATTAGGACCATGGCAGTTACTTCTTTTCATCCATTGATTTAAGAATGTTATCCGTGATGTAAACATTAAGCGTTTCAGTTGAATGGTGTCTCTTATTACCACTTTGGCGAGGGGAGAGAGTATGCATGTTGTACTTACACATTTTAGATAATATTGGTAGAAGTGACATAGGTCGGTTACAGTATTTGGTGCTTGTTCGTGATCCCCTTCTTTCAGGATTGGAATAACCTCCACCATCTTCTATGCTCATGACAGGGAGCTGTTTATAATATATTAGTAAGGGGAGTCAAAATATAAGGCAGTGAATCTCTTATTATATGCATATTGATTTTGTCAGGACCAGCAGGTTTGTTGGTAGGCATCGACATGATTATGCGTTTGATTTCATCTTCAGAAACAGCTATACAATCAAAGGTGATAGGTCAATTGGATTCAGTTGCAGCTGGGGGTTGGTTATGGATATACGGTTGTAAATTGTTGTCTAACGACAATTGTTTTACCGCTTGTGCCGTTTTCCCCCAATAGTTGCGAAGTAAGAGTAATTGAATTCCTCGGTTAATTTCTGAGTATCTTTGGTGGAGACTGGTTTCGAATTCTCTTTCCTTGGTAGAGTTTGATTTATAACTTTCCATAACGCCCCAGCATTGCTTTTGCATTTACTGATCTGGTTACCGATATATTGTTTTTCACTTGGTGTAAGCATAGGTTTAACCGAGTTTCGTGCATTTCTATAGTTCAACCGGATTACGAGACTGATAATAGTATTGGTGTAATTCATCTCTATTTCTCATGGCTGATTTTATTTCGTTGTTGACGAAGGGAGTTGGCCTGGATTTAATTTTAATATTCTTGGTTGGGGCGTGATTTCCAAGTGCAGTTTCATAAATGTTATTAAAGGTATGTAACTGGTCGTTGACGTTCGGTGACAGGTACATGAGTGTTGATAAAACTCAGTTGCCATGTCTATTGCGAATAATTCTGGCTTATAAATACCATGAGCAAAAGGAACCAGATCAAGTAATTATGGCGTCAGATGACGTCAAAATGCGCCATGTTTTTGACGACACTTTTTCATGCCGAGCACGTCCTCCAGTAATATTATATATAGCTCAGTGGTTGTGGTGCGTTAAATGATACAGTAGATTGCGCATGAGTAACCGATTAAAGCGTAAAAAGTGCGCATGTGCAACTAGTTTTTACATCCCATAAGCAAAGAAGCATGCGTGTCTGTCTGAGACTGAATTAATGGAAACCGAATCATGGTATTACAAACTAATACTATGATATGTCGGGAAATTAGTGCATGATTTTAATTTAAAAATGTCCATTTAAAAATGTCCTTCAACCTCCCTCGGCTTTCGGGGACATTTAATTAATCACTAATTTCCCTCATATCATGATATTACTTATAATTAATTAGCTACGTAAAAAAGATTGTTAGCATCATATAGACATATAATAAAGCATCAAGCATACTTGAAGCAATACATATTTTTAAAACAATCATTAGTAATACCGTGCTGAGTGGTTATATTACTACCTTAAAAAACAAGCAGAAACTCGACGTTTCGAGCGAAGGCCCTTCGGCAATACTTAGTATAGCCAGGTTATAAAATATACCACCTATTTGTTTTAAGCCTGCGGATCAAACGAGACGCAAGTCATCGCAAGTTTTAACTTCTGAGATATGGAAAAGAGGAAATGAATAATTTGTTAAGGAAACTAAGAGAGTGAAACATACAAGATGTCGTGTGAAAAGTGTTGTTTGATCTGGGCTTTATTCTAGTTATTTCTAATTTTACTTAAGAGACACTCACACATGTTGTTTTTAGACACGCCATGTTATAGCTCTCCATGTCAAAATGGTGCAACTTGCAAAGCGAAAAAGGAAAAAAACGGTGAGGACAAAGAATACGAATGTGATTGCCCAGTGGGCTTCACTGGAGATGATTGTGAAGTTTTTGAAATAGGTAAGGTTCTTTTTATTTTCTTGATTTAAGATGGACGTCTTAACTTGTGCTTAGTAGTTAAACCGGAGAATTTTAGCCGCACAACTGGTAATGAACCAAGCACATCATTCCATCCTAAACCATTATTTCGAATTTACAAGAGCCAGTGATTAATTAAACGCCTTCTGACTAGGTAAAGTCTGTTTGACGAGCTTTGACCATGCTAGCCTTTAGTCAGTCAACTGGCGTAGGTTTTGCAAAAAGGACTTATATATACTAGAGCATGCGGTATTACGTAAAATGTTTACAGAGATTTAAGGAATTTTAAGGGAGGGTGCAAAAGCTGGACCCCCTCATCTGAACCCCTTTCTGGACCCCCATTTGGACCCTTTCTGGACCCCCTTCAAGACCTCTCAGAATATAAAATATATTCAAAATAGAGATTAAAATAGATATTTGATATAAATAATAATATGATTTTCATAAATAATAGATTTTTCTAATTTTATGGTTGCGAAGTAGTCTTTTGTGCAATAGGTTATGCAGGTCACTACTTTATATTAGATCAAAAGAATAATTTCGGCCATGTCAGTGTAGGGCATATTTTTAGTTTAGGGATAGTACGTATTTAGCATTTTTATTGTTATTATTGTGGGTCCACTATCTCCTTGCAAGATGAAGTAACAGCAAACTTGTATGTTTAATATCCATCGCTTCTCGGAGATGCACCCCCCCAATACCCCCCCTCGCTACGGCCCTGCTGGGAACAAACATTGCGAACACATGCTGTTGAGAAGTTGGTTGTTAAAAATACGAAGGAAATTAAGTGCATAATCAAAAAAAAAATCGTATGCGATACCCTAAAACCCCGCACTATACCCATGCAAACATCAGTATGTACATGAATTTTCGTCTGTTCCGGCCAACAAGCAACGTTCTCCGTTGCTTAGTGGTGGGAGCACTGCTCCAGAATCGTAGAGGCGTAGGTTCTAATCCTGCCTGAGGACCTATTAGTTGCATTTTTCACAATGTTCCCTGTTTGGTCTTATAAAATTAATCGTATGTTTCTCTCCCTTCGTTGTCCTACCGTGACCGTCTACATTGAATTCATGTTATACCTGATAGATATTACCATGCATATATTACTTTTTCAGAGTTCCCTTGCAGTGAGAGACGAATTGTGGATATTCCTTATTGTGAAGAAGAAAATGACGCAAGTCAAACAATTGGTAATTAATGGTTTCTTGATGGATAATTTTGATTACGTCAGTACATCACGACGAGGTGTCAACGCAGCATCCTAATCACTTCATTGCGGTCGCTTTGTTGTTTGTATCAGGCATTGGGGACATTTATACGGATCGGAAATATATACATGACGTCGCGTTTTATTGTGGTTACGTGATTACGTATCCTAATTTTAGCATTTTGTTCGATGTTGTTACATGTACTATTGTACTTTAGTATAAATTTACAGGTGACTATTGATTTTTCTGCATTCTGATTGGTCAAGATTCACTGTCTCTGAAGTGATAGTCACTGGTCAGTGACTATAGCTTTTTTTTTCAAAATGGCTGCTCGTTTTGCCGTAGTAACAGAAGAGGAAATTGCCAAAATTAAAGAAGATAGCATGCCGAAAAAACCCAAACAAGCTACAAAATTTGGTTTGAAAATATTTCAAGGAAAGATATTAAACTTTACGTGCTTTTATTTGGAAAAAAACTGACTTAGTCGCAACGCAACACAGAGCCGTGTCTGAGATTTAAATTTTGTAAACAAACTATTTATAGTGCAAATAAATTTATTTGAAGTGAATTTTTATAAAGTTGTGTGGATTATTGTTTGTAAACACCTCAAATTTATACTAAAACAATTAGTCGCCTCAGGCTCGGTGATTACAAGCCTATATTCACTTCGCCTTCGGCTCAGTGAACATAGGCTTGTAATCACCTCGCCTTCGGCGACTAATTGTTAAGTGGTATTATAAACAAACACATATCACTCACGGTCGTTATCATGCATGGATTTGACTGATGCTTTATGATCAAATGGTTTTCTGTGTGAACCAGGGACACTGTTTGAGATGGTAGCACTATTAATAAATCCCATACAAGACTGTGTTTAAAGGACTAGTTGGAATAACTGTTAAGATTAGATTTGGAATTGAGTTTCGTGCTCTGCAGGCTAATTTTTGCCGCCAAGACTCAAGAAAGAGGAAAATCATTGCGGATCATATCGCATTCATGGTATTGCCTTTAAATTCCTGGCTTCAACCATGGTGTTCGAAACTGCTCTACTAGATTTTTTTACCAGCGCTCATGCGTTGTGCAAATCTTTGATAGAACTTATTTTTAATCTAGATACATGCGATGAGACACCATGTAAGAACGAAGGTATATGTGAGCCAATACCTACTGGTCAATACGAGTACAGATGCAAATGCCAGCCGGGATACATTGGACGTACCTGCGAAACAAGTAAATAAAACTTTGTGCATAATTCTCATTCCCTAAGATACGCGGCCTGGTTATATCTGGTCATATATATATATATATATATATATATATATATATATATATATATATATATATATATATATATATATATATATATATATATATATATATATATATATATATATATATATATATATATATATATATATATATATATATATATATATATATATATATATATAGCACCATAATCTGTAGAGCAGCACAGCACCATAATCTTTAATATTTTTATTCCGTAGATTAAAACTATAAATTTCGCCTTGAGTTAGAAATTTCAACGAATGAGCTATTGACCTGTGTGATCATTAAAAATGTTTCGTTCTCCTTGTAGACATAGATGAGCAATGCATTAATGAACATGGAACTTGTAAATTGAAAAAGGACCAAGAGCGACAATGCCTAGAAATAAAATGCGATTGTTTCGTCGGATATAGTGGCGAGAAATGTGAAAAAAGTAGGTTATATTGCAACTATATATGGAGCCCAACTGCTCCAGAAACGAAAACTTTGATTGTGAAAAATTACTGCATGAAAGAATCATATGTGAATTAAACTCAGTACAAGCACGTACGACCAAATGACGCGCCCATGCAGCCCGTCGTCAAATTTTATTCTAAAATTCATAGAAAAAAACACTCCGACCTGCTTTCTCCCACTTCTTGTAGAAACAGACTGCAAAGACAACAGTGATTGTAAAAATGGTGGAACGTGTGAAAGTAGCAAACAGTGTTTATGCGCCCCTGGATTCAAAGGTTTATTTTGCAACGAACGAGGTAAACATTTAATTTATTGAACTTAAGCTCAAAGTTTGTTTACAACAAAGCTAGCTATTTCACAAAAATATTTACATGCAGGTGATCAGGCCTTCTGTAGGCTGTATTATATATGGCTATAGACCTAACAGAATTTACATCTACAACCATACAACAAGACTTGAATGTTTTATTTAAGTTTTAGAGATGATTTGTGCCGATTTCAAGTCAATAGGAAGGTTATTCCAAGTCTCTGTGCCTCTCATGAGGCAAGAGATTGTTTCAAGAAGTTAGCATTAGACTTAGATAAATATTAAAATAATGCGAAACTAAATTCGCTCTGTCTTGTACTGAAATCATGGACTTCATTTATATTGGCGAAAATTTCTATTACCGCCCATTGTTCGGTCCGATAAACTTGTCTGACTTCTGTTGTGTTTCTGAGTATTTTTCAGGGAGGATGTCCAAACAAACAAGAGAAATAGTTATTTTTCTAAAATTTTGTTCAGGGCGGCGAGGCTAATTATATTTCGAAACCGTAGATGGTCGAACACCTCGTTTAAAATATATATATTCAGCACTATCACATATATAGTTTTTTTGGGGCAATTGCATCCAGTGAGTACAGTGTCCTATGCAGACCTATTTTAGCGGGTTTGGGCCCGCCACGTACGGTCTGCTTACTTTGGCTAGCAATTCGCCATTTTATTCCATTAGCCAATAGCATTCAAATACACTAGACACGCCCATTTTGAGTAAACAAGGAGCGTGCGATAATCGAATAATAATATATACGTATTTAAAGGAGCAATTTATTTAAAGAATAAATTAGGATTAATAAGAGGCAACATCCATACCGAAAACTATGTAACCTAAACGGAAACGATAAGCAAAGAAAACAGCCGCTTTGTTCTCGGGGTAATATCTGCCAAGCGTCAATGCCAAACTGCCAATATAATCCCATTTTGCTAAGCCGACATTCTTCAGTTATCAGCAAAAGCTAGCCAAATTTTATCTCAGTTCACTCTGGTTTCAACGGTCTTCGAGACAACATAAAAGGAAATTGCACACACCGGCAAAAGAGAGCAAGGTCCATAACGGCGAGGGCCCCTTACCCTCGTCCTGATCTTCGCATCTCTCGATCACTTCACCACGGGGAAGCCCGGCCCGGACATGAGATTCAATGTCCATAACGGTGAGGGCCCTTACTCTCACCCTGATGTTGTTTCTCCAGCTTTTCTGGGGGCCCCTTACCCCCAAGAAACCGCACTTTCCGTCACCCAATTTGGCCACAAAGGATTTGCGTGATTTATTAATGGCCATAAATGTGAACAGATCGAGTTTTCTGATCAATAGCAGTCGTAGTAGAAAGTATTGAATATTTTTCCAACGAATGTACGCGATAGGTAGAAGGCTTAAATGTATATAAAACTATTCACTGGTAATACTTGTTTTGAACTTGACGCGACTGTGTGACGGAATGCATATTCAATATATACTATAAGTTACGATTTTAAAAAATTCATTAATAATTCACGAGGAAAATACAAAAGAAATGAATGTTTAATCAAAGTTTGTAAGGCCTGTTCATATGGGCAGAAGTTATCCCGGTTAGCGAGAAAACTTTTCGACAAGTTTACGAGCGAGATCTCGCCTTGTTACGAAAATAATATGAAAAGTTACATTGCGTTCATATGAGACGAAAAGTTTTCCCGTGTACCGAGATCTCGCTTGTTGACAGGCGAGATCTCGGTGAGCGGTATAATGTTTTCCCCATATGAACACAACTTTCCCGCTTAGCGGGACAACTTTTTGTCGTGTCAGCAACTTTTCAATTCAATTGATGTTCAGTGCTACGTCACAGCCGGAAACTTTTCCCGGTAAGTGGGATAATATTTCTCCATAGTAGTATAACAAAAAGTTAATGAAATTGCTGCCGTACGTGTATTCGCGTTGTGAACTTGCGAAAAAGTTAGTGCTTTGATTACCTTATGTTTGACATGGAGGTCTGGTTACCAATCGCATCTCAACGTCAGTGTTACATGACCGTAATTCGCATAGGCGTACGGGGCCGCTAAATTCTGGGGGGGGCGGTAGCTTTTTTGCCCAAAAAATTCCACATTGCCCAAAAAATTTTTTCCGGAAAAATTATTTTGGCCACCCCCCCCCCACCCCCCCCCGTCGCCAAAAAAATTTCGGTCAGTGTACTATTTTAGGGGTCAAAAAAATTTTCCGGACAACCACAGGCGGCCCAGACGTGTATCTGTGTATAGTAAATATATCATTATAGAATATACCTCTGAGAATATACTAAACAATAAAATTTGTAATGAATTTTATATTTTAAAATCATATTTACTTGCCTACTTTGATTGTATGTGATCGTTTTTTATTTCTGAGCGACTTTACATTCGATGCCTGCGACTGCCTTCATAGGTGATAGTATTGAAAGCAAAGGCTAACGATTCCAGTTCTCAAACAGCCGACACGAACAATTCAAATCGAAAAATATCCCCTTCAAATTGCTTTCTTCACGGTAAAACTTCGCCAGCGTATAGAATAAACACCCATCTTCGAACATACAAAGCAATATTAACACGTCCTATAATTTTTGCAATGGATTTTTAGCGAAATGTTTCGAGACTAAAATTCTATGGAACTTAGAAAGCCCGATAATTACTACGGCGCCTGCTTGGCCACCTAGCCTCCTTTACCGTTTGGATTTTCAGGGGGGGGGATCGAATAAAAAATACCGACTGTTTACAATATTTGAAATCTGATATTGTAATTTATCAACAACAAAACTCTTTTCGATCGTATACAGCAACAACAGCCAGCGAATCAATGCCGCGATAGCGACGGTTTACTATATTTGAAATCTGATATTGTAATTTGCAAAAGCTATCTTTCTATCTTATACTATACGATCGATCGATCGAAAGAGTTTTGTTGTTGATAAATT